TGACTAAATAAGGAAAAAAAAAGTGATTGGCTTTAAGGAGGGAGGAGATGCAGGACACTGAGTTTGAGGGAAAACCTGCAACTGACCAGGTTAGCTCTAGGAAGTATGTTACCACAGAAACAGAGGTTAAGAGTTTTTTATCAAACATGCTTTGTGAAACAGACCACAGGTCTGGATAAAAACTTCTTGATAGCTGCAAAGACATGGGCCTAGGCTGGAATTCCCCTTTTAATGTTCAGTATTTTCAAGTTTCTTTCCAAGAGGAGGAAACTCTTAGATTTCATTTCAGATCATGGTTTAAATCATAAAAAACCCAACATCCGGTATTCTGAAGCAGCCCCCCAGCCAGGTGCGGCCCTTTACCTGTGGCCATCTGGTTTCTGTACAAGAAGAGCACAAGTTGCCAGCATTAAGTCAGACCTGTTCCTGCATGTTGGACTCTGACAGAGCTGCCCTCTGTCCTGTTCATTACCTTTATAGACAGGATTTATAGGTGCAGTCAGAGTCTGGTTCAGGGTCCAGCAGATTTCGTCACTGCTTTCTTCTCCTGAATACAAGCGGCTGAAATTAGCTGTCTCTCCTTAGGGTGCCTGAGCACTCCCTTAAAGGGTGAGGAGCTCAATAGAGCCGCTTCTCCTCTACATATAGTCAGCTGAGGTGACTCGGGCATCTTTATTGGATGTCCCCCCTGGTTCAGGCATGTAACACTGTTTGGGAAGTTTGGGAGTCTCTGAAGAGACTGCTGTTGCCGGATAAACTGTAAGACTACAACTACATTAAGTATCTGACAGAATTAAAGCATGCACATGCAAAAATGAGTGGATGAAAAACCTGGTAGGAAAAAGGGAACCAGTATATAGGCCTTAAAGGACTGTTAACATCCATTTAATAATAATTGAGCTGGAAGAACTGCATCAAGAGAAACCACGCAATGGCAAATCATATACATTGGCTGCAAATGTTATTCTTTACATTCTAGTCTCTCCAAGGGAACTTATCCATATTCTCTTTTTCGCATAACCTGTACAGCTAAAATTAGTTCTAATAACCGGGCAGGTAGAACTGCCCAGTCAAAAGCGATCCTGAATATGTTTTTTTTTTCCCCTATGGAAAGATTTGAATTTAATATCCATCTGGGGAAATCTGCAAAGGAAAATGGGTGCATTCAAGTCCAGTACAGTACAAGTACAGTTGTGCAAAGTCTTTAGTCATGCAACAAAACATTTTGAATTGAAAAAGCTTCCTGGATGGGAAGCAAAATGTCTGCAGACTTGCTAAACAGAGTCCAATGGTTTTTGTTTTTTGGAATGACTATGACCTAGATAACTGAGAATCTTCACCAGTACATGCAACAAATGGTTGTAAAAACTTCTGACACAGCACCCCGAATACAAATGCACTGCATGATTTACAAATTTATTTGTGAAGGTAAACAAGAAGTATGCATCATACCCTTGTTGGTTTGACAGAAAAAGCCCCAACTAAACAGCTGTGAAAAATTATTTAAAAAGATCCTGCATTTTCATGCTATGACATAATACAGGCTAGAGTAATGGTAATTTGAGGTTTTATATTCTTTAAATGCCACACTTTGATTTAGTTTTTTTTGTGATTCAACACACAAATAATCAACTAATACATTTTATTGACTTATAAATAGCTGTGATATAGATAAAAAAAACTTGAACCCTGAGAAGACTGAATATTTAAATGTTTTTCATCTTTAAGTGCAATTCATTTCTCTGTAACTTTCATCTTTGGCCAAATGCTGTTACTGATAATTAAAATGTCTTCCCTGACCTCATGTCAGATGAATACTGACTCTTAATGCCGAGCAGTGATTTGTATTTATATAGTAATAATGCTCTTCAAGTTTTCCCACTGGACATCGTCTCTCTTCCGGTTTCTCACATGTCGTTCCTCCATTCAGGATCCAGTTGTTGTTGGACAACACTCTCGGCAGTCTCAACTGGAATAGAGAGGAAAAATGTGTCATCATTGTTTGAAAATACAGCTTATTTTTCTTTTAAGAGAGGAGATGAGATGGGTTTTACTCTGAGCCTCAATGCTGATGTAGAGTGCAGACAATCTGGCTACGATCTCCCCCTCATCTTCCTCAGCATGCGTGAAGCCCTCATAGCCTCCTTCCTCTTTGCAGTACTCGATAAAGCTTAAAAACAAAGAAAGGAAAAAACAACAGAATTTTCTTCTATGGAAGCTCTGATTTCACTTCTATTATATTGAAGTCTGCAACCGTTTGCATATGAAATATTACCGGGCCCAGGTAGAATCTGCATTCAATACCAGGGGGTTTCCCACCACGATCAGCAGAGCTTTGGCTCGAGTCACAGCCACGTTGAA